ATCAAATATTACGAAGAACGTTCACTTTTTGTAATCTTTATTCCCGCTCGTGACATTCATGAGCCGTGTTGTCTCAACTCTCTCTTTATAGAGATTCTAGCTCGACCCGGCTGTAAAGAAAGCTCAAATTGCGTATACAGCTTATACAGCGTACAGCGCTTGCGTATGCAGCGAAAAACTGCTTCCAGGTTTTCTTCCACGAATATATGAAACTAGAAAAGAGATTTACAACGTTGTGATCAGAGCTGCGCATATTTTGGGGGGGAGAAAACAAATGTTTTAGAAACTAGATTCATTGAAAGTTCGTGGAATGAATCAGTAAAAGCTACCAGGAAATCATAATCTAGTTTCAAATTGCATGAGATAATCAACGGCGTAGCCCGTAGCCTACACGTCCATCTTCTATTTTTTTTACTTTATTCTTAATGTGCTCTATTGTCTCGTTCGTCCGCGATCGAAATATCCATTAAAATCATACATCACTCTTATCATGTGCATGCAACGAGAGTAAAAAATGAGTGCTTTTTCCCGTAATTTTACATCTATACGTAGAAATGGAGTCTTCAATTTAGCAAACAAGTGGAAATTTTCAGAAGAAGTCGGGGAGAGTCGCAGGGAATACGGGAAATCATAATCTAGTTTCAAATTGCATGAGAAAATCAACGGCGTAGTTTACACGTCCATGCGTCTCCTATTTTTTTACTTTATTCTTTAGTGTGCTCTATTGTCGTGTTCATCCACGCTCGAAATATCCATTAAAAACCATACATCACTCAGATCATATGCGTGTAACGCACAGTGGATCGAGCCAATGGGAGAGGTCCGACAGAATTTGAACACTTTAAAAGCTCACAACTCCGTTTTTACAAAAATTTGAGGTCTTAAAAATGACCCCATTGTTTTTCTCGTAAAATTTTCCTTAAGAATTACCTCTCATTATTTGAAATTTGACGACATAAACATCAAAATTTGCAGTTTTAGTCAAAAATTTCGTGTCTAACCTCTCCTGTTGACTCGATCCATTGTGTGATGCGAGTAAAAGAAATGAGTGCTTTTCCCAGTAATTTTAAATCTCTACTCGTAGAGATGTAGTCTTCTGCCTAGCAAAAAAGTGGAAGTTCAGTTTTGGCGGTCGGAGAAAGTCGGGAATTCGAAAATGGATTCAAGGAAAGGCAAAAAAGCCAGAGAGTTGGAACATAAGAGATTATGAGAACCCTGCACTTACTTTCCTCTCGAAGTCGCTCGAACTACCCTCCTGTGCGACCCGGCAAATCGGGGTAGCGAGCAAGGCGATCGGTACACAAACAGCGCGCGAGTCAAGACTCCGAACTTTCGGAGCGACGAAAAAAATATTAACTCGGCTGCGAAAGTTCTTTACAAGTCGAAAGAACTTTCACGAGACGACATTCTCCTGTTTTTACGAATCTGGAGCTTTTTTGCGAGGATGGCTCCCGAACGAGTTTACAAGTTCTCGTGTACTTACAGGGCACCCGTGCTGAAGCCAAACCGCGTACAAGCGCATACTTCTCGTTGCAGTTAAGCGGTTTTTACCCGGAGGTGTTGTAGCCCTGTTCTAACACCACACTCTATTGACCTCTCTCAATTTTCTCACCCTGCCGCCGGGGAAATCTGAACGTCAGCCAATACTCATTACACTAACGTGATTCTTTACGACACTGCGATTATGATCGGCAGTGTTGCCAGGTGGTCCTGAAAATCAGCACTTCCTCCCATTTAAACTCACGTTAAAATTCCACATTTTATTGCACAATCTGTCGACTGTGAGTCGGAGCAGCTACGCCAATATATACCAGCGCACAACTTACGAGAAAAAAAGTTAAACAAAAAAAGTACTGTCGATAATGAAATGCTGAGAAAGGAATGGTATTGCATTTTGCAAACTAGGTCAGTCTTTTAACATAAATACACGGACACATTTTTAAAATACGCAGTCATTTGATTATTTCAGAACAAGATAAAAAAAGGAAACGAATTTGATATCCTAGACAGCAATATAATTGTACACTATAATATTATTTTTGATGAAAATCCACCCCTGCTTCATTAGCCCCGGATTTTATTGACAAAGTTTGACTCAAGTATCGAATGAAGAATGCCTTTATTAAACTTTGAATGACGTCAAAGCTAATTTTGGAGATGCAGCAAAATTTCATTTTTAGCACTTAAGTGGACGTTCGTGATGGGAAATAATATCAACCTAGCAACAAGTTATCGCTAATTCAGCTTGGATCATAAGTTAATACTTTTATTAAAAGCTATTTTTAACAGGTTTTATTCTAGATATATGAAATTGTCAGGTTTTCTGAAGCGAGCCAAATGAGACCTTTCTTGGTGAAGCGTGATTGATTGAAGATCACTTTATAATGTAAATGATTACTGAGTACTCTTCCTTACTCAAACAAGGAATTATTTCGTCCATCATTATCAGAAAAAACACAAGTGAAATCGAAGAGGAAATATTGAACTCTTGGCCGAGGCATTCGAAAAAAATGCCTATGTATTGTGTATTGGATGGGTAATGGCCCTCAAAAGCATGATCTCGGCTTAGAGCGCCTTCAATTTTTTGTGACACTCTACGCGTTATCACGGAGTTAGTTTAGTTGCCTTCCGATCCAAACCTGACTGAGCTCGAGGGTTTCACTACACGCTCTCAAAAGTGCGCCTGTTACTCCCGTCTTTTTAAGAAGTTTAAAGTCCCCTTTCACACTTAAACCAAATTAATAAATACTCAATTTTGTTCTTTTGATTCTGGATTTTTCGATTTTCTACTTTTTCACTTTGGCTTCCAAATTTCCCGAGATATACATTATAATGGATTAGTAGACAAGGTAAGAATTTAAGTATTCTGATAAATGTTTCCTAGCCAAAATATTATGCGGAAGATGATTCGCGCAAAGAAAAAATGATTGAAATTAACTCTTGACTACAAATATATCTACGTTTTCCGTTTACATTGGTCATGGGAATTTTGAGTTTCCCACTCAGAAGAAAAGCATGTGTCAACCAAATCGCGCATTGCAACGCAACGGTTTTGGCAGGCTCTTTAATGGAGCAACGTTCTCTCACCGCCTTGTTCGCTCAGAGTATTAACAACTTGCAACAGCCGAGCCAAAGCGTCGAAACTGAGGTTGCCATGTTTTCATACATCAGAGCCTGCTACAGTAACGTTTAGTGCGCGATTTGACTCACGTAGACTTTTGGTGTTTCATGAATGGGAGGTTTAAATTCACGTGTTTAGAAACGTTGAATAACTTAGGTTGGTGTTATTTTTTTAAATTTTTGCTGCGCATATCCTGTACTGCGTGAAATTTTTACTAATCGGCACATATTATGTGCACATGGTATGCAGTATATGGGTATGTGCAAAGAATGTCGGAGGAGAGGTTGCCCTAACAAGTTTTGGGTTGGGTATACCTCCTGGAAGAAGGCGACGGGGACGTTCCCAGTAAGGATGCCGGCAGGACGTCGACAAAGAGATGTCGCGTTACCTATTCTGCCGTGCTATGGAAGAACGTCGTATGAACATTCGAGAGTTGCCAAATTTTCTCCGATAAAATGTCTATTTTTAAGCAAAATTGTCGATATATATCCTTGAAATTTTCAGATCAAATTGCAGGCAAAATTACCTCAGAAATTGGAAGAAAAATACTCACAAGTATCCTTGAAAATTAGTGATTTGTCAAAGGAAATTTGGCAACATCTGAGGGCTCATACGTCGTTTTTCCGTAGCACGGCAGTGTTGCCCGATAACTTTTGGCAGTGTGTCAGAGGGCGACGCAGGAACGAATTTCATGTATAAGTATGTGTAGCATACATTAAAATGTTTAAAATCGTACCTTGTCTAGTGCAGGGCCGGATTTAGGGGGTGGTTACATGGGCCGCGGTTCATGGCGGTACATTTAGGGGGCGGCAAATTTTGCAATTTTTTAAAGTGAAGGTACAAAGCAAATCCGATTCAGAAATAAATACAAACGAGAAAAGGCGACAAAATCTCTCATTTCCTGAGAGTACAGTAATTTCGCATTGCGTCAAACACAGTGCGGTCAGCAACGGTCGAGGTGAAACGCATAGCGCCTACAAGACTGCACTGATACTTCACGCATTGCGTCAAAAACAGTGCGGTCAGCAGCGGTCGACGTGAAACACATAGCGCCTACAAGACTGCATGAATACTTCACGCATTGCGTTAAAAACAGTGCATTCAGCTCAGCAGCGCTCGACGTCAAACGCAAAGCGCCTACAAGACTGTAGAAATACTTCACGCATTGCGCATAACACATGCGCGGCGGTGGAAGTTAAAAGTATTAAGCCCTCACAGAGATAGGTTTACGGAACTTAACTTTGGCGCAAAGTTCCGTGAACTTTCGCTGGTAGTGCTGACATAGGGCATTCGCAAAATATGTGTCCAACACGAGTAAACGCGTCAACGCGTCTCATGCACCCCTACCCCTCCGGCACGTTCTCTTGATGGTTTTTATTGATGTTTCAAAACGAATGAGAAGAGGGTGGCAAAATAAGGGCGGCCCATGATCGGCAAGTAGGTGAATCCGGCCCTGGTCTAGTTGTGTATAGACGCATTTAGTGGGACGTCACATCTCGATTTAATTTCAATATCTCGAAAGTCGAAAATCGCCCCAACAAACGAACACAACGTTCGTCCGAAGACTAAGTACTATGTCACGAGCTTATTTTACTATCAATTCGTGTGTATGTGGTCTCAAACGTTTTGGAAAATAACTAGCTTTCATAATTTTACGGTCTCATGGATTAATGTTTCAGTTTTGGGCTAGTTTTAGCATTCTTTCATCAATTGTTCATTTTGGAGGTTATGTTTGTTTGTTGGGGCACATTTTGACTTTCGAGATATCGAACCAACAATTACGCTCCGTGACTTCACCACTAAATGCGTCTATTCAGGTTCACCTCTCTCAAGTGTGTTGATTTTTCTGGTCTCAACGGAGGTGTACGTTTTTTTGCAGGTGACTCCGTGTGCCCGAACTGCCTGCAGCAGCACCACCACCACAAGTCGCGGACGCGGCATCATGGAGGCGGCAGTGGCGGCGGTGGAGGCGGGGCGGGCGAGAGCCTCCGCCTGGAGGCCATCAAGCGGCAGATCCTGTCGAAGCTGGGCCTCAAGGCGCGGCCGAACGTGACGTCGTCGGTGTCGCGGGAGCTCATCATGGAGACGCTGTACCTGGCCGAGGAGTCCCGGGACGCCTCCATGGACCTCCTCGAGGAGGAGACCGACGCGCCCACCTCCACGCGGCTCCCCGATTCGGAGCCAGACGACTTCTTCGGCAGGACGTCCGAGATCATCGGTTTCGCCGAACCAGGTAAGTGCTTCGCTCAAACATTAGGCATTTTGTCAAAGGCACATGATACTGACACATGAAATATGATTGTAGAGAAAAGATTAGACAAGGTGTTATATGTGTATTCACTTATTTATTTATTTAATAAAAGCAATCATACGTCTCTTTCAACATCTCTTTTCTCTACAATCATAGTTCAAAATGGTGTTACTAATGAACGATTTCATAAATACATGAAATGTGTTCGCTTTTTGAAATTTTTTGCCACGGACACTACATTTTGATCCTTTAAAGTGTCGTAAAGGACTTATCTTAAGGGGTTAGTTTTTTTTTTTTTTTTTTTTTTTTTTAAATGTTAGCAGATCCTGTATGGATAATACCAGCGACACTCTAATCTCCAGAATAGCTGTTTCTGAGGTTTAATTGGACGTGTTTATGCTGAAAGGAACTATGTGCATAAGATTTGCGTGAGAAATACCTAATTCCTTTTAGCATAAACACGTTCAATTGTTTTAAGGAAATCTTAAGGAAAACGAGGAAGCTCCATGTGTATATCTCCATATTGCAGCTGTAAAGGAATTTTCTTAAAAAATATTTAATTAAACATTTGTAAGTACCGCTTTACGACACCTTAACGTATTATAATGCAATATCCGTGAAAAAATATGTTGAAAAGCGAACGCATTTGTATGCCAGTGATTAACATGTTATATAGCATCATAGCATTTCAGGTTCTGGCCCACTTTTAGTGCGACTAATTAATTGCGCTGGTTTTTGCGCTCGATCTATATTATACTTTTTCTTCCAAGTTTCTTTTTTAATTACACGCAAATACTTATTTTCTCTCCCGAGAGAATAGTGGTCTCTCCCGAGAGAATAGTTTTCTCTCCCGTGCATAAAAGTCGCTTTCGCAGCGCTTTCACCGAAAAATGAGGGACCATTACTTTGGTCCGCTCCTTTCACATCTGATCGTGGCTGATTTAGTCTTGTAATTTTTTTTTTAAATCAGACAGGGATCTTCTCTGAATTTTTGAACTGGGCGATGGAGAAATTAGTTTTATGTTCAACGTTCACATTTTTTTTTCGAATCTCAAAAAGAAGGAAAGATCCAGTGGAGCGTGCATCTACTTTACAAGGGCCGATTTTACACTTAATTTTGCTCATAGGATCAGACCAAAGACGAATTATTCACAACAAGGATTGGAACTCCATTAACTTTGATGGATAGTCGTAAATGTTGCTGTTCAACAACACTGACTCCGCCTCCCGGGCCAGAAGCACATATTTAATATGACATCGTTAATAAACTCAAAAACTCATAAATCCACTCAAAACTTCGAATAGCGCGAGGGAAACTTTTTAGCGGCAGAATCGGAGGCATAACAACATCATCGGAGGCAGCATATGACTCAATTAAGACTTGGTCGTAAGTTTACGGGTCTCCGGGTTGTAAGCCCGGAGGTCCTTGATCATTTCTTGGACTTCATCAAATGTTTAGCGACTTTTTCAGATTTACGTACAGGGATCAATGATTTTTTTCTTTTGATAGCTTAAAAAATGTATAATTGTTATGCGAATCGCGCCATATCGTCGTTTTCGAGACGGAAAAAAACGTAACTATAATTTAACGTTGTAAAATTTCCATACACAAATTGTACATTTACCGGAAAACTTTTCGGCATTTTCAACTGAAAATCTCACCGATTTTTTTTTTTACCACATGTCAAAATCTCCAAAATTTTGGACAAAAATTACACATTAAAAATTTTTTTAGAAATGATTTAACTGTCCGGGCCAGTCTAAAAACCTCGGAATGGTGTTACTCTCCTGGATTCCGTTTTAGATAATGTTGCCCTTTTTGCCGCATGTTTAGAAATTCTTCATTCCGACGGACGGTTTTTTGTACATAAGTAACATCATAACTACGACATTGAGACAACGCAAGTTTAAAATCCTGGTACATGCAACGATTGCTGCCCTGCAAATGCTTTCTGGCCCACTTCAAACATTAGGCAAAATAGCAAACTGCGCAACCTCAGTACACCGTACCGAAAAACAAGATGCTAATTTAACATTCTGGATGTAAGAGAGTGTGCGAGACTCACAGAACGCGCTAAATTCATCGCCACATTAGTTAATTTTACATAATGACATCGCTGAAGTAACTGCTGCAGCGGTCAATTCAGCGTTTTGTGCCCCACACACTTTCTAACGTCCAGAATGTTAAATCAGCATCTTTTTTTTTTCCGGTACACCGAAGACGATTCTGCCTCCTTCATATTCAGTCAGAAAACACCTGTATACCAGCACCAAAGTTAGTGATCCGCAGAAAATGTGTATAATTAATTCTGGACAATATGTAAATTTACAATAAAACGTTGAAGAAATAATACAAACTATACAGTCGGCTTAAAAAAGGGGAAAAAAAGAAAATCGATGTGTTGCCCCTGTGAGGCGCGCTTCTGGTATCATCCGCGGTAGCGCACTGGTTCACTCCGTCAACGGTGCGGCTCATGCGCTTTCGCCGGAGCACAGTGGATCGAGTCAATCAAAGAGGTAGGACATGAAATTTTTGACAAAAACTGACAAATTTTGATGTTTAGATTAAGATAAGATAAGATAAGATTTTTTGTATCAGATTTTTATTTTTTCCACAATTTCCATAACACACAAAGCCACAATAACTAGAAAATCACCACCCAACGCGTTTGCCGTCCGGGGGACTCCACGCAATTTCACAACTTTTTAAAACATCCAAATATCCAATTTCAAATAAACACACACTTGGATCCGTGCATAGTAACAAATAGAAAATAAATAAAAAATACAAATACAAATAAACAAGCAGAATTTAAGACTTAAAAATTTTAACATTTTAAATTCCCAGTATGAAAACTTAGCAATACATTTAACAATTGTCAAAATTTTGAAAAGTTTAAGAAATTTTGAATTTAAAGTTATAAAAGATTCCTTTGAAAAGAGAATATCTTGGTGCTCTAGAAGCTTGAAATTTCAACTTTGCAATTAAAAAATTAACTAACAAATTAAAAATTAAATTCTGAAGCCAAGAAAAACCTGTACTGCCTCGCATGCTTACAATATTTCACTAAGCTTTTCCAATCTGCCCCCTTGACAAATTTTGATGTTTATTTCGTCACATTTTGAATTTCAAGGAGTCCTCAAAGAAGAAAACTTTAAGAGGAAACCAATGAAACCACTTTTAGAACGTCAAAGTTTTATATAAACGGAGTTATATGCGTTGAAAGTTTCCAAATTTTGTCCGCCCTCTCACATTGACTCGATCCACTGTAAGGCGGCGCAATCGGATCACAAACTTAATGAAAATAAATAATCTCTCACACACAGACACATCCGCAGCTCCGTCCACCCTCACCAACACGCACCGCACGCCGAATCGCCGCCCTGTGTTGGTGTGTTTAACATGCGATGCAATTTCTGTTGATGGGGCTCCAGCCGAGCTGCTGGGGGAAGGGAAGGGGGTTGCGACTCCGGGAAAAAAGAAAAACCGGGTATAGTTTTCGCCGGGCACCGAGACGGAGTAGCCGAATCGTGCCCGAAAGTGGGCGATTTTCGGGCTGCCTACGGGGTGTTTTGGAAGGAATGCGGCATCCTTGGTAGACAGGTCGAAGTAGGTACCTTGTTAAAGTTCTCAAAAATTAAGTGATTTTTTTTTCAAATTCTTGAGAATTATCACACACTGGATCTAGAGTCCAGACTCTTGAAAACATTGACAAGAAAAAGGACTCTTGATTTAATCAGATTTAAGCTTAAATCAAAAGGAAATCCGCTCAAATTAAGAGGCTTGATTCTTCATTTAAGCTTAAATCTGATTGAATCAAGAGTATTTTTTCTTGTAGATGTTTTAAAGAGTCTGGACTCTACATCGAATGTGTTTTTTTTCCAGTGCACGTTTTTGAAACCCTCGAGATTCGATGATTAATTTGTGTACCATTCTCTCAAACGGACTGCATTTTTCAATTAGGAGCTACAATTCCTGGCTCAACTTGAGAATAACGTATGTTTCATTAGTTTTCTATGCACATAATGGTTTTTACGGATGCAGTTCGTATAGGTACAAAAATTAGTCGAAATGGACAGGCCTAACCAAAATCTGCCCAACCGCATTTTACGTTTTCTAATTTCCTCTCTTGTTTTATTTTTTGAACAAAACACTAAACGAAATACCTTGAAACTCGCTTTGAATACTCTTTAGATTTTTTGGAGGAAAAAAAACAAACACTTATAGAATTTTAAGTACGAACGTCGGTTTATTTTCCACTAAGAAAATCCAATATATGAGCGAAAATCAAGCAATGTCAAATGTGCTATATTTTACAATAGGGAGCTACTGTTTCTGCCTTATTTTAGGAACAACATATATGCCATCAGTTACAGTATGCAGATAGTTGCTTTTGTGGATGAGTTAAAAATGGTACCTTCTTGGTTCCTATTGCAAACTGAGTCCATACTAATATCCACGTAAGTAGCGTTTTAGAGCATCGTTTTGCACTTACTCTGACCGGTTCGCCCTCATTACTAAAGTAGGCAATGCGAATGGCTTAGAAGCAGCAGTAGTTGCTTGCATTAATGCAGCCACATTAATTTTCATTGAACATTGTATGAAATGACAACTATTCACCAAGTGAATCATTTCACGCTTACTCTAACCACTTTGCCTTCAATACTTAAGTAGGCAATGTGAGCGGCTAAAAAGCAGTGGTAGTTGCTCACAGTAATAAAACCACGTTCTCTCCAAGTGTCTAAAATAGCACACCGTAGAGGATTGCCCTCTCGATATTCCAGCACGGATATATCCCGCGAGGACGATTCATATAGTGTCGCTCCCCTGACGTAAGGGCGTATCTTGATTTCCAAGTGAACCTTGGTGTCCATATAACGGCATGCTTTCCGGGGCTCATGTGGAAATCGAGATACGCCCTTACGTCAGAAGAGCGTCGGACGTGGACGGTTTGCCGTAGGTCCACCCGCCCTCGCGAGAC